CGCCGCAGCGCGCGCCCGTCCGCGGCCAACGCCGTTTGATGGCGTTTATCGGCCACCCGCGGCCGCCGGGCCGGGTGCGCTGCCGTGCGGCCCAGCGGGCGCTCCGCCGGGCTCAATCGTCTTTCTTTCGTTCTTTATTTTTTTTCCCCCCACTTTTTWAACTGAAACGTGAGGATTTGTAGCGCGGGGAGGGGAGCGGTGCTTGGGCCGGACCTGTTGCGGGTCCCGTCGGCGGATCGCGAGCGGGATCTGGGTCTGGGATTGGGTCCGGCCCCATCCTGCCGCCAGCGCCGCCGCCTTCGGCCTTTCCCGGAGCCTTCGGGCGAGATCTTGGGAAGAAACCGCGCAGAAACGGGGCTTTAGTGGCGAATCTAAATAATAACCCAGGTACCCCCCTTCTCCCCCCGCCGGCTCCGCACTCCTAAGAGGGTGGAGGCGAAAGCCGATTAAAACCATATGAGCGCGGGCAAATCCCGCCGCTCCGCGATGTAATCGCCTCTGATCCCCCCGGATCTGTTTCCCACCAGGAACAGGAACCGAYAGGGATACAACCCCCATTCCCCGCGGCGGGGACGGGACCGGGGATCGGCACGGGGACCGAGCGCGCAAGGTGCGCGACCGCCTCTCACGTCCATTTTAAAATTGTGGGTGGTTTTTTTTTTTTTTTTTTAATTCTTTCTTTTTTTGATTACTTTTTCTTTGCCACGCGCGTGCGGCTGGGTGCGGGCTGCAGCCCAGCGGCTCCCCCCAGGCCGAGAGGCAGCAAAATACCCTGGAAAAGGGGCAAAACCGCTGTGCCCCCCCCCCACCCGCGGGAGGGCTCTCATCCCGCCCCCGCCTCACGCCCCCCCGGAGGCGGTGCTGCGGGGGGGGCGCCGTACTACATTACCCAGCACCCCCCGCGGCTGGCCCCGCCCCTTCTCGCACGCCATTGGCTGCACGCTCGACATCGACGGGCGTGCCTCTCATCCCATTGGCCGCCGGGTGTGTCCGTCATGGCGGGGGGGTGTAAAGTGGGGCGGTGGTGCGCGGTGCTGTGGCTGCGCGGCCGGGAGCGGGGCGGGCGGCGGCGCTGCGGGACGGCCCGGCGGTGACGGCGCGGGCGCGTTGGGCCGGGCCGGGCCCGGGCAGCCGCGGGGCGGCCGCGCGTCCCCGCTGCCCCGCCCGCTCGGGCGCCCCCTGGCGCTTGGGCGGCCGCGCGCTCCGGCCCCCCCTCTCCCCCACACCCGTCCCGTGCTCGGCGGCCGCCGCGACGGCGCTGCCTTACGGCGCCCGAGCCCCGCGGAGGGCGAGCGGCGCCTCCCCCTGCCCGTTTTCCCCCCCCCTACGTTTTTATTTTTCCCCTCGCGGCGYGCGGAGCCGCGGGGGCGCTCCCCGCGCTCGCTTGCGCGCCGGCTCCACACCGGTGTGCCCTCGGCTCAGTTTTGAGCCGGCTCCCGCGCCCCCCTCCCCGCGGCCCAACGGCCGCTAACGGCTGCTCGCGACCGTTGCCGCCCCGCCCGCGGGCCCAACGGCTCCTCGGGACGGCGCCGCCGCCAGGTAAGTGCCCGGTCCCCGCCGARGAGCGGGATCGTTCCCCACATAATCGAAGTTTATCCTGGGCTGCCGTGGCTGTCAGCTCCGCTCTGCGTCAAATTCGAGGCTCGTTTCTTGAGGATGTCTCTATTTTTCTGCTTTATTTGCGCGTTGATGGCTCCGCTGAGCGAGGCGCCGCGGCTCTTACCGCTGGTGGGAGCACGTGAAAAATGTGAAATTAATCTCAGATTAATCTGCTTTGCCGGGCTTCTCTCTCTCTCCCCCGTTAGCCAAACGGCAATAACCTCTTTTTAAGACGCTCTTTTCCTTCTTTATGTAGTTCTGCCTTTTTTTATTATTATTAACAAATGCGGGGCTTTGCGGATACATTTGTTGCTTTTCCTTATATTTACTGAAGGTAGGACCGTTTGGAGGAATGGATATGTTGTTATCTGCGTTTCGGATGCCAGGGAGCTGATGTAACTGCAGGCTGAGCTTAAGATCCCATGCCTTGTATGTTTTTATCATTATTTCTTGGAATCTAAGAAAGAAGCGAATAAACTGTTCATGCCCTAGAATAAACATTTAACGTTCAGATCTGTCTTAACGGTGGGCAGGACTTACAGGCTCGCTCTGCACTTGTCGTTCTATTTAAATCAAGGCTCGCGAGTTTAAATTGAGCTGTATAAATAATTAAAAATCGCTTTTTTTTTTTTTTTTTAAATAGCTGTCAGTCTGAAGGGCAGATCCTGCAAAGCTTATTTTAAAATGGTCTTTGCTTACTTTAGTAGCCTGGCTCCAATAGGATTTCCGCCCGGCGCGAGGGAAACTTGGATTCGAGGTGACGGCACAAAATGCGGTGACCCCAAATGTAGCAATATTTGAACTTGCCTGTTTGTTTTTCTGCCCTGGTTTCATTTGCATGATTTCATTTGGGATGTGCAAACATATGTGGTGCACTGTAAAATAGCTTAATAAAATAGTGCATGAATGTATAATAGGGATCGGCTGGGAATATTTTCCTGCTGGGAAGGAGCCGTGCGGAGGGAGGATTAAGGGGAGGGGGAGAGCAGAATTTAAGATTAGATCTTAAATTAGAGCAAAAATGGCATTTTCGAAGTGCAGACATTGATAGTTTCTAGCTGCAAGTGGTGTGGGTGCAGGTGACTTATAGTGGGTGAAGTTAAACATAGGTGTCTTGGATATGATCTGCTTTAATTACTTTAATAGCTACTGTGTTGAAACTTTAAAATCTAACGATCCTACTTTTATTGCAGTCTTTAAGGATCTAATTGTTCCTGTGTGTGCCTGAGATACAAAACTAGTGCGAGGAAAGGCAACAGATTGGTTCTGTCATACGATTTTGTTGTTCTGTTTTTTTTTTGAGTGTACTTAAAAGATTATGATGGATAACGCTGTCTTGCCAAAGAATGCCGACACAGGTGTTCATCATTATCTTAATTAAGATCCTGAGAAAATGTCATCTTTCGGCATGAATTATGAAGGGAGATGTGTTAGGAGATCATTTTTTCTTTTCTTTTTTTTTCCTTCGGGGTAGATGAGAAAGAGACTGTTTTCTCAGAACACTTTTGATATTTCTTTATCACAATGCTTGACCTTAGGCACTTGCTGAGTAATTCTTTCCCCTCTTCAATTTGTGAACGTGTTAGAGAGGTACATATAGGACTTGAAGGATTTTTTTTCTCTTTTCTTACACTTTCCCCCTCCCTCATGCCCTCTGTTCTTTTGCAAGCTAGCTGCTATTAACAAATACTAAACTAAAATACTTTGTAGCAGAAAGTATGTGAGCAGCTACTTAAAGGCTTACTTAAAGGCTACTTAAAGTAGCTACTTTTTTTTTCTTTTTGTAATGCCTTTGAAAACATTAACAATGCACACTACTAAAAGAAAACAAATGCGTAGGTGTTTAATGCCTATTAACTGATTTTTTTTTTTCCATTAAGCATGAAGGGAAAAGAGAAAATATTTTTCTGTCTTCACCTTTATAATAACCTGGAAGTAAACCTATTTTGTGTATGAGTATGTGTGTGTGGGTGGGGGATTAGAAAAATTCTTCTAATTTTTAAATGAGTATGTTATTAGCTAAACAATAAAGCTGTGCCCCCAAAATATTGGCAGGAGCATTCCCAGGAAACTTTGGGGCATTTACATGCGAGTGTTTGCTCTTCTATATATTGCTGTTGGCACCTAAAACAAGCTGCTGAGTTACAGGTTGGTATTTGCAGCGGGGGAGCCAGTGTTAAGGGGTCCTTGTAACAGGTGAATGTTTCCACAGAGGAGTTCTGTGAAGTTCTTAATTGCTCTGTTATTTCTATTGCCTGCAGTTATTGTCCAAAAATCTTCTCGTCTGTGCTGTTTCTGTGCATGAGGTTTAAGGTTTAGGTGTTAACTCAGACATCCAGTAGAGCTTCTGCCTTTTCTATATCCAGCAGTTATGTATTAGTAGCTAAATTAGATTTTTGTCTTATTTTTCTCAGCAAGTGTCTGTATGCAAAATCATTCTTTCTATACTGAAAAAAACCTTATTTTTTTAAATAGATTTAGCACATGGAAAAAAATCATACAAAGAAGTGCAACTGGCAACCTTAAGCATACAATTACTGTATTCAACATAAAAGTGATCTTGATAGTATCTTGGGAGAACCAAAACTGTATGTAGCTTCCCTTGAAAGTTCCTTTCACTTAACTGGTGCTATTTGCCCGAATTTGTTGCCATGATATGGACTAGATTAAAAATGACTTGAGGGTTTATTTCACTTAAAGTTCCATGGGCATATGCAGAAACTAGGTTAATCGAGTGTGTGGGGGGGAAATCCAAAGCAAATCCCCCAACAATCTCTTATGTCTAAATAAGTGGGTTTTTTTACATAAAATGAGCAGAGGGCACTGCAGTGAGAGGGGCACTTGTGGCTCCCTGTGCCGTCCTATGGGATGTGTGTGTGTGTGTGTGTGTTGCTGTCAGTGCCAAGGCAGGTTCTGTTTGTGCAGTTCAACTGCAGGTGCTGCTCTTGGATGGAAGCTGCTGGAGCCGGTGTCTGCCTTGCTCTGCGAGTGTTAGGGATGGCTGACTTAATAGCAGCAGCATCTTCAAAAGCGCTTGTAATTTATCTAACTTAGCTTCACATATAACACATCCCAGGATATATTTGCAGTCCTAATGACCTGTTTTTGCAATAGTTCAGCATTACCTCTGTAATGAGAAATTCAAGGCCAGGGAGCCTTTCGAGTTCCACATCTAAAGAATTCTTTTTAATGGTTCATAATTCCTTGCTTTTATTAATATCAAAGCTTTCTAGCTTCTGGCCCTTAATATGGTAATTCAGCTACAAACAATTCATGAAGCAGCTTCCTGCAGATTAAAGTGAATGCCTGCATAGAGCCCCACTCTTTATTTGTTGTTCTAATATATCATTGTTTTACAAAAGACAACTAGTGGGGCTGGTCAAGATGGACCCAGATGATCATAACACAAATTCCACTCTGCCAACAAAYGTGGGAGTTCATTCTCTTATACTCTCCCCCAAGAAGATGCATCTTCATGGATTGCCCTTTCCCAGCACAGAGTTCCAACCTTTTCTTTAGATAAGCATATACTTCTTTTTTTTCTCCCCGTAGTATTTCCTAAACATTTTTTATCACAAATCAAGAATATAGAGTTAGCCTCTGAAATATTTTCTGCTTGCCTTCACAAAACTTTTTATGMCCTTCATATTTAATTTTATATAGAATAATGCACGGTGTAATATTCAGGTCTCCTGTTTTCAATTAAGCTGTATTAGSTAACCAAGATCTTCTTTCATACGCCATAAGCAAGTATCAATTTCCAGATGGCAGTGTGCTARGGGAAAACAGCTACTGTAAAGCCAAGGACTAGCATTTTAACCCGCATGATAAATAAAACTGAGGTTGTGACTCTGTGTATTGGAGTTTCACTAAATAACGCTACAGTGGTGTTTGTTACTGGTCTTGTTGGATAATACGCAGCTATAAAACTTGCTTAATGCTTTTATTAGGAATGTTTTGTCATTTTCAAAGAGATGCCTGCAGTTTCTTTTTTTAATAATAATGGTGAAGAACTAGTTTTTTATGCTGACTTTGTTGTACTGGGACATCCATAGTCTCCTTAGGCTTCTGCATGCTTCAAGTTGCATGGACATGTTTTTGGGAAGAAGGCAGCTGAGGAGAGCCTAGGCTTGAAAATTTGCTTTTAATATTTTTTTGCTTCCTTTTTACTTTTTCTTAAGTTTATTCCAACACTTAATTTCTTACTTCAGTTAAACTTGAGCCATTATTCTCTAAGTTACTGTGTCTGCAAGTAAGACTTATATTAAACTAGTCCAGGCAACTGTCTGAGAGATGACTGAGAAGCATGTGGGAAAGATTCGATGGCAGGAAAGGGACCCTAAGAGTTTTGAATCATGCATTTTTTCCCTCATGCCATTTCTGGCATGTCATATGACCTAGATTAGTTCATGCAATTTCTTGCCTCTCTTTGCCTAACTAGAATCCTTTCAGTTTCTCTGAAATGTTCAGATTTAAGTTATTGCCCGTACTTGCACTTTATTAGACTGCTGTTCTTCTGAGCAAAAGCTAAGCGTTACAATTTGTATGGTACTTATTCATGAGTAAAATGATGTTAAATTTCCATATTCCAGATGTTTGGTTTCCTTGTGCACTTCCTTATGGTGTGTCTTTTAGAAAATACAGAATTAARATCATCCAGTGTAAAATAGTATTAAGTGTGGGATTTAACAAGCCAGAAAAATAAGTGAAGAAGCTGGAGTATGTATTGTTCAGTCCATGTATGGTTCCATACGTGTTCAATCCATGTGTGTCAGACAAATTTGAGGTCCTGGTTAGTGACAAGTTTTATCTTACCATTCATTGCCTTCTTCATGTTTCCATCTTTCACCTTAGGAGAATGCAACTAAGAGAAGAAGAGATGAGCTCTGCAATGAAGAAAATGAACCYAGCAGTCCATCTGAGCAAGCCTGCCTGAGTACAGGAGTAGACACCATTTGAAACTGGAATGTGTATTTCAGCTTGCCATTCTTATCCCTGCTCAAAGCTAAAGGTAAATAATTTGTTTTGTGTATGTTATGATCCATTAAGGCATTACAGAGGTGGTAGCTGCTATTTTTCTTTGTGGTGCTGGGCTCTGCCTCTTACAAAATGCAGAAATATTATTTCCAGGTGCATTAGCTATAGTCTTGTTTGTATTAAGAAAATTTTGAGCATGTTCTTTTTCTTTTCCTCTCTCCAGCTGAGACTCTGCTCACTGAGTGTGGCATAGGCAATGCTGAAGAAGGGAAGAACGGGCTTGGGAAGCAAGAGCTATTTCAGAGGTGCCTTCTTCCTTGCATAAAGTCCAAACATGAGGACCTCTATAAACCTCATTAGGTAGAGTATTACTAATACAGTGATATTACCAGTAATACTGCACAAGAGCACTGTTTTATTGTTCTTGTTCGTTGACCATGTAGAGCTTCATTTAATAAACGAACATATACTGGTGATTAAAATCAACATTATGCGAGAGCAGTAAATCAAGAAGGTRGGTACTAAAGGGAAGTAATACTAGCTTTTTTGTAGAGCTGCTTCCTGTCCTTTCAGATAGCAGTTTTATGAATTGAGAAAGGCATATTTAATAAAATACCTTTTCAAGAAATTAAAGTAATTCTTATCCAAGAGGACTTCTATTGTGTCCTTCACAGGTCTTTTAGCTATTATAGCATCTTAATGCATTGTCCAGCAGAAAGAAGCACTCGTGGTGCTGACCCATGAAATCTCCATAACATCTGTGGTGCTGCAGCATATGTTGCTCTTTCTTCTCAAGGCTTCCTTCGCTGGGGAGCATTTGTGCAGTGTCTGCTGCGGTGCAGCCCTCTGTGACCTCTTGCTCCCAGAGATGGAATTTGTGTGTCTCTTCCCATTTGGGATTTGTGGGAGCTCCCTCCTGGGCCAAATAATTCTCAAATATTGCAAGGAAAGATCTGACAGTATTGTCTGGGTGATGTGACTGGGTGACTGACTTAATTAGTATTAACATTTATTAAGTGCCCAACAATGGAGGGGAAGGGTAGTCATCCTAGTTTTTCACAAGTAGGAGAACCAGCGTGCAAGATGAATGGATCTCTCTGATCTTCTGTGATTCTTGACCCATCTAATTGGGTGACTGTCAYAAGAAATAACAACCTTGCTCAGGGGAATGGTACTGGGGAAAGGTGCTGATGTGTTCAGTGTGGCACACTGCTTCCCTCCCCGAATGGCTTGATGTGCTAGGCAGGGTCTTCTCATGAGTGTCATTGGGCCACGGAAAAGACTTAAAAGAGCTGATCAACCTGAGCCTGTCCTTCTGATAGCTTCATCCTAGATCTCATCCAGAGAAAATGAACAGTCTTCCACAGTGTGTTGCTGTGACTCAGTCCTGGGAACTGCTCTTGGTTTTCAGAGGTTCCTTCCCTGGCCTTTTTCCCTTTTTCAAGAGTGGCCTTTCCCCAGAATAAGTGGATTCACTTCAGATGATCGTTGTTTTCCTGCACTTGGGTAGTCTCTAAGACAGTGGCTGTTTTGGTTTTTTTTCTGAGCTATTTCCACTTTACTTTTTATAATAGTTTGCTTTGCTAAGCAGAGAATCTCTCCAGCTGCTGCAAAGAGTGGTTTTGATATGTATCAGTGAAGGGTTTTCTTAGAGATAAGTGGCTTTCATTTAGAAGATAGACTTAAATTCTACTTGAAAGCACCACTAACCTTGGAGGTGCTTAATTAGGTTTAAAATATACACTMTTCTTTTGTTTAAAAACCTGTTAAGGAGAAGGTGTAATACTCTTCTGCAGGTGAAGTGAAAATAACTATCTTGGTTGCCTTTTTTTGTTTTACAGTTGCAAGATACTCAGAAATGAGAGAGAGTTTATGTGATCAAAATGGGTGATAACTCAAAATGAGTGATAACATATTAAAGATGGGGAGCTGAAGTCATAGACTCCAAAGTGAAACTCTCCAACAGAAGTGGGGAATTTTGCTTGTGCGAGGAATATGAGTTTAGGTTCTCGGTGCTGCCTTTTTTTTATCCTAATATGCATGTAGGTGTGTCAAAGTGATATGGGTGGAAATGGAGTCTAGGGTGAAGCAGCGGGACAAAGGAGTACATAATTTCAGTTCAAGTGTTAGTGCAACTCTAAGAAGATTTGTTTTTACAAAAAATATTCCCAATTACAAAGATTTGTTTATAACACTTTCATTGCATGGTAGTTAATTCTTTATGTGTAAATTAATCCTCTGTACAAACTGAATTCCATAAACAGCAGTTGATCTCTGAGTAGGAGTTAAATATTTTCAGTTAATTTATGTAGGGTTTGATTTCCACTCTGCTGTGGTTACCTACACTAAAGTTGAGTCGGTATGTGCTTAATGAAAATTAGATGCGAAATGTAATATCTAGAGGACAAAGAAGCATTGAAATCTATTGCTCTTAAAGACAAAGGTACTTCAGATTATTTTTTCCTTTCTTAATCTTTTGAGAATTTGATGCACTCATTCTGCTATGAGTAGTTTGGGGTGAATGAAACTGAAATACTTGGTATTAATACTATTTCTAAAAGTATTATAGCATCCCTTTTCTTAAGCCTAGCTTCATTTTAACACACGTAGCGTTTTGAGAGGTTAGGATACAGAGGATCTCCTGTTGAGAAATAACAACTACACTCGTCTCTACGCAAAAGGTTTAAGATTTTGTTCTACCTGTGAAATTTGCCAGGGCTGTAACTATTTAAGTAACATGTTTGTTTTCATAGCAGCAGTGGCATTTCTCCTCCTCTTCCTTGTGGTTTTGTCCAACTGGATGTTCTGAGTGGCAGTTGCAGTGACTGCTAAGTGTTTAAATGATGACACCATTATGTGAAGTGATTTTGAAATGAGAGATTTCAGCCAAGAATTACATCTGCTCTCATCTCCTTCAAATCATACTCTCTGACTGTGCAGATTATGATTGATTTGTTTGTGACAGATTGCAGGAAACAGTCATTGATTTTTCAATATTTTACCTTAAAATTATTTACAGTTGTAACCAAGGGGAGGTATTTCCATGGGCTGTCAGCCCCTGAAAGACTGGGATAATATTCCCTGCTCCCTGACAAGACAAATTACCCGTAATGAGTGCAGTAGCTGAAGGGTATACTTTTATTTTAAAATATGTCAATAACCCCAGTGACTAAACGAATATTGATTCAGCATAATGAAGCCTGAGTAATGTGAAAATGAGCTCTTCAAGGAGCATGGTAAAGTCTTTCTTTTTAGCTTGTAGCAAGAAGCTTTTCATTCTTTACTGTTAGGTAGTGAAAATATGCGGTCTTAAACAAGTCATCCTTGAGCAGGAGTAATATGTAGCATAAGGTAACAAAAGAATTTCCTTTTATTTTTTTCAAGATCCTTTTCTCCTGTGCCTTTCAGCAGATCTGTTCATTGAAGAGAAAAATGCCAGCCATCCAGGGCAAAGCTAGAATTACTATTGGTGTTGATGTCTTTTGCAATAATATTCTTCAGCCGGAATAAGGGCATTTTTCAAGTGGATTCTGCATATATGAGCATGGAAATGTATCTAAATAAACTGTAGATTTAATTTCTTATTATTGACTTCTTGGACATTTTGATGTGTGTTTTATACGATCGGTCTAATATTCTTGTCCTTTAACAATTTAGAATAGCTGGTTTATGAGAACTGAGATATACTGTGTTATAAAACTTAGTTACTGTAGTGCACATTTTTCTTTCTGGTGCCTCGTAACACTGCATGTTTCTTACCAAATGAGAATTTTCAAGCAGTAATTCATTTAAATTACAGTAATTTATGCAGTGGCATAGGTGTGGTGTGGCAAAGCATATAATAGATTAATATGGATGTACTTCAATCGTTTAGTGTTGGGATTAGATTAAAAAGCATGTTGAGGTACAATTTTTAACATTAAAATATTAAACATTAAAAAATCTGGAAAGATCAATTTCTAATTTGTATTTGAACACAYTGTGTGATGTTGGAAAGGTCTGTAAAGGCACTGGGTATAAATGGCTGTGTAGTTCAGATGTGAACAAAGATAGTTTGAGAGTTTGTGCATAATGCATCAATGACAAAGAAGTCTCATAACCCAAATAGTTGGTGAATGTGTTTAAGCAGCACAAAGACCATCTTCAATAGCACTGAAGCTTGTGAAAATCTTTGAAAAGAGGTTTTTCCAATTGGTACATGGGTGATTTTTTTCCAAATATCGTTCCTTGAGTATGGCTGACAAGTATTTCAGGAGGCACTCGAGAGCCTGTGGCACTGCCGGTTAAATTGCAACCCTGGAATGTGAGATATGCTAGCATTTCTAATTTGTTAATTTGCAGAATAATGTGATGTGCATCTGTTAGTTTGTGAGGGTTTGTGCGTAAAACCTGGGATTTCCAAAGTACTGGAGAATCATTAACAGGGGAGTAGTAGCCTGAGCTCTAGAAACAGCACTGGCAACAGGAGAATTTGGGGCTCTGGGAGATTAAGGGTCAACTGGTGACATGACACAGCTCAGTGCTATTTTACACATCCCAAGTTCTGTGACTGTTCTTTGTTTCTGCACCTTTGTCTCTTTGGCAAAGAGCAGGAGGTGGGAAGGACAGGGCTCCTCTTGGTAGCTTCCCTGCAGTAGCAGGGAGGTTATTTGGGGCTGGCTGCCAGTTCTGATGCAGAACAAAAGCAAACCTTGATTTGCCCTTAACCACATCTCCCTTTCCTGGATAGCACTGCATGAGCAACCTGGTACCACGCTGAACAAAAGCGGATACTACTGGAGGTGCTGTCAAGACCTAAACAGAAGTGGGCTCTACTTGAACGCCACCAGCTTGTCTCAATTGTGAGACAAGTCATGTCTGTTGCTCTGCTGTGTTGTCCCAAGATGAATTTGCTCGTTAAATGGCTGTTTACATGGCACAGGTTCAGTCCCGAACTACCCATTGGCATTAAAGGCAAATGCCGTGTCGTTGACCTCCGGAAAAGCTAGCAAATGACTGTGGGTGACGCCAGGTACCTCCGGTGATGGTGCCTTGGAAGCTCTAATGCTTATTTCTAAGTCTTCTTTTAACGTTAGAGCTGCTGAAGTTTAAGGGGACAGCAAGAAAGAAGCACCTGAGGACTTGTTCAGGGGGTGTGGGAATGTGTTCTAGGGAGCATTGCATTATATAGACTAAAAGCTGGGTAGTGTTATGTTGCAGTGCTTGGTATGGTGGGCACTTGATAACACTGAACTGCCTAGAAGGAGATAAACCTAGATGAGCATGTAGAGCATCCAAGGTGTTCTAGAGTCTGCCAAATGAGAGGGGTTAAGTGTGTGGTTGACTTTATGCCTGAATGCTGCATTGTCCCAGAATTGTGGGAGTAAATTGAGAAAGGAAAGCTAACTTGTTAATTATTTTCCTTTTCTAAATGCTGAGAAAGGAGGCATTATGCTTTCCCCTTCCTTTGAAGGAAGGTCCACTGTGTCCTTTTTCTTTTAAACTTATTTTTTAATGTGAAGTGTCATTCCCAAAATGAAGTAATGTCCTTGGGCTGGTGGCAACAGCTGGAGTTGCAGAGTTCATAAATAATTCAGAGAGGGATAAAGGGTATGTTTTTTGTCATTTGAATCTTTATTATGTGCTCACATTCCATTTTAGATATGGCATCATTTGAATTCATTTGATATGATGATTGCACTGACCTGTCATATTTATTTTGATATCCCTTCGAAGCACCATATGCTCCATCCCCACAATCCTTGGCATGAAAAAGGTTGCGAGTTGCTAACTAAAAAGACAACTAACATTGTGCCTAGATGAAGATCCTTACTTTTGGCACACTAATAGACATTCTGCTGCCATGCAGTGGAAGGAAGTATAGTCAATGCAGCGACTAAGTCGCTTCATAGTGTAGAGGAAGGTGGAAGAAATCAATGTAAAAATTATCTGCATTAAAATGTTACCTGGTATTTAGAAGCTCAGCTGCCACTAAAGCCATCTTGGTGTGAGGAACCTGGCATGTGCAAGATGAAAAATATTGAAGCCAACTAGAAATCTGTCATGATGGAGGAGTGCCACGATAGCTTTGATGTGGGAATGCAATTAATCACTCTGCACTTAGATGTGGGATTGTCGTGCACGGAGTCTTCCGGGGATGCACTAGAGTTAGTCTGGCTATGCCAGGTCCAGGTTGGTCTTTGATAATCCAAGTGATCTTTGCAGAGAAATGGCTTGCTTAGCCAGACAAAATTTTGGTTAATTTGATTGGGGAAAATGTCCTGTGCTAGTTCTCCTTTTCCCTAATTTCCTAATTCTGTCATAACTGTTGCATCTGTTCCTGCATTCATTTCTGTAGATGACTATAATTTCTAGAAGTGAGAGAAACAATTGTAAGTTCAATGATACTTGCATACATGCAACTTAGTGTATTAAGTAATTAACTGCCCAGTAATGAGTAATGTCTAATTCCTACTGGCTAATGCGCTACAATCCATAGTTAGTAGGTAATAGGACYGCATTAATGCTACCTTTGTACGCACTGTTAATGTGGCAGGATGCAACCACTACAATATTTTCATGGTATAAAGTGTAATTGCAGCAGTGAGTGGTGATTTGTATGGAGTAGATTGTCCATTGTGTTCATGTCAGTGGCAGAAGGAAGCTAATTAAGTGCAAGTTAGTGAAATACAATAACTAGGAGCTGTGAATGGGAATGATAACTGTATGCAAAATTGTTTCTTTTCTAGATCCTGCCATCAATGCCTGAGCCTCCCTGAAATCTTCTTATCAGTTACTGCCGAGATGAGAAGGATAAGAGGAAGGAGGAGCGCTTAAGTGGTTCTAATGACAGCTAATTTCATTGTTTATCAAATGACAGGTTGTTTTTTTCTTAAAACTCAATTGTCATGCCTAGATGCTTTTTGGAAGTAGTCTTTGTAAAATAAAACTGACAATTTTAGGCTACAAAGAGCTATTGTAATCTTTCTAGATGATGTTGTCACTATGGTAAACCTCTGGAAAGTCTGTATTTTTACGTAATTGAACTTGCATGCTTTACTCATTTGTTTGAATGTCTATTGAATGCCATGTGAGAAGTTTCTTTCCAAAGTTATTTTATTCAATAGAGCAGTTATTCTTAGAACACTCAATTGATTATTTTCTAAATTACTGTTGCCTTAGCCTCCCGCAAAAATGTTTCTTTTCAGTAATTCTTAAACAAATAAGAATGAATGGGGTTTTGTCCTCTTCCTGTTTTGATCGGCATAGCTTTCTCCTGTTAGTGAAAGCTTCTTCAGTCTTCAGAATGACACCATTACAAAGAAAGGTGCTTTGCTTTTTTTCTTTTTCCAACGGAAAGTGTCTTCTGGTGCAGTGATTTTTGACCGTGTACCTTGCCAAGACTAATTACTGGAGGGAGAGAAACTGTTGGGAGTGTTGTGCCATGCCAAATTAAGAGTTATTAGCTCTTTGCACCATCTCTTCAACTAGAATCGGCCCTGTTGCATCTGGCTTAGACATTGAATTAGTGGAACTAATGTGTTCTTGGAGTTGCATTTTAGAGGAACTTCAGATTTATGTTTTCTTTGCAAGTCTGCTTTAAACCCCTGGGATTAACTTCGGAGGAAGTGTGAGAGAGAGAGAGAGAGAGAGAGAGAGAGAGCGAGCCTCCTTGGTCAGCAACCTTCCTGGTTCAAGAAGGGGGACTTGATGCCTTCTTTTGGGGAGCCTTGCCCAGTGGGAAAGCAGCCTGAACTGTTTCTGTGAGCACACCCTGATTTCACACAGGCCATGCCTGTCCTGTTACCAAATATTAGTTAACTGGTAGCTTGCTCTGACAAAAAGGCAGGGAATATTGAGGCAGCTGCCCAGGTGGCATACCTGGAGGGAGGAAAATAACATAGTACATCCAGAAAGGAAGTGCTGTGAAAGGGATAGCCCTAAAGTGCTGATTTGCAGAAGGGCAGTTTCACCTGGCAGCTCAGCTGTTCTTGGCTGCACTGCCCTACCTTAGTGCTCTCGGAGCAGAGCCCATGCCTGCTCTCTCCTAAATGCCTCTGGGCCTCAAGAGCTGTGGCAAAAAGAGATGGGGTACGGAGATTCTTAGGTCTGAGGCTTACAGAGAAATTTGGAGTCATGCACGAAAGTGTAGATCCTGTTGCAGATYACACAAATGTATTGTTTTCCAGGCAGGCATTGAGTTAACTTGGCTCTCTAATGCTCTCTACTAGAAAGTGTTAGGCTTCTGACTCAGATTCTTTTGCTAGCCTATGCTTGCAGTGTAGTGCTTGGTGTGTGCATAGTTCAAGGAGGGAGAATGCCAACCACATAGTTTCCAAAATCCTCAACTTGCCACTGGTTCAGTGTGTGCAAGTTTAAGGTGAAACGGGGAGCGGCTGCTGTTCCGAGAGCTCTGTTCTCTCGTGGCATCTTGCTGTCCAGCCGCTCCTGAGCTCTTGGCAGCATTGCCGGGCTCAGGGTACTGACGGTGTGAAAATGAAATGCCTCATCCAAAGGGCTGCTTGGACATCTCCAGCTGYGTTTGATTGGGAGGAGACCAGCCACAGCATTTTGAGGCAGCCCATAATTCATATAACCCTGTTATCTTAATGTAAATTATTGTAGGATTCATGTTAAAACACATATTGAGATGCTTGATTTTGCAACTGGCTTTTTTTTGCTGACCCAAGTGCCTGTATATAATAATAACACATATTTAGTAATACTATATATATAGCTATAAATATATAATTAAACCAGTATGGCAAAATAACTCCTTCCTTATACAGGACACTGGCACAGCTATGTTATGCCGATGACCAAAGCTTTACTTCTGAGCACTTAAAGTRATCAGGTAGTATACTTGAGACTGTCATGCTATTTATATAGCAGTAAAAAGAAAACAATATAGTTCTCCAGTAGGCTTTTTTTTTCTTATAAATTCTGCAAATATGTTGGTTTCAACTAGACTTCCTGGCTCTGCACTGTTTACTGTGTTCTGCCTGAATATAACAAGATCCCAAGCATTTATAATGTACTTTAAGTACATGATTTTTTATGTATTTTGTCCAGAAATATGTTGGACAAAACATAATTTACCYTCTTAATTGGTAGTGTGTACTTCCTAGCTCCTAGGACTTTAATTCAAAGATGGTTGAGCAAAATATAGCTCATTTCTTAAAACAATCTTTACRGCTATAATATGACAATTGATTTCACGTGGCTGTTTTCATACTGCAGACATAGCAAAGTATTTGAGGAAATATGATGTGTTGATAACATATGGAGATAACTGGCTAATGTTAAACTCTGAGATGCAAACTTTTAGTAAGAATAATGAATCATCAAAATTTTTAGAAAGGGAATAGTAGATTTTCTATCACTTGCTCTTGGATTTTGGAGTGTTTTTATAGAGGTACATGCTTGAACAAAAGGCTGGCTGAGGTACAGGAATTCTGCCTGGATCTGTGGCTTTCGTTACCGCCTCGGGGTCAGTCTAGATGATCTTGGAGRTTTTTCTGGCTTCTAGAGGAAGGTATCAATAGGTTAACAAGCACCTTTGCAGAGGAGCAGCTTCCACTGAGAAGCTATGAAAAGTTACTTGCCCTTGATTAAGGGAGGGAGTAAATAAATAAATAAAAGGGCTGGAGTGGGAGAGTAGTCACATAACTACAAATTCAGCAAGTTTCCTGCTTTCCAGCATCATGTTTTTTCCGAGATCCTTATTCACCTGGCTGCTTTGTTTGGAACACTGGGATGTTTCATTGTCTTTAGGTGGGTTTTGTTTGTTCATCCAGGTGTCCTTTCTTCAGCTTTTGCTCTTACACCACTTCTTTTCAACAAGAGCCTGAGGTCAGCTGGATAATTCAAATGTTCTAGGTGGAAAGGCTTTGGAAAAATTTCTGATGCTTTTGCCTTTTTTTGCAGATGTCCAGTAGAAGCCCCCAAGCTCTGTGAATATCATGCAAAATACATATTTCTGTAGGCTCTCAACTTAGCCTTCTCCATTACTTACTCCTGAATTAATCCACTACCAGATGAATTTTTTTCAGAGCAAATGTCTTTATATTTCTATAAAGTCTAATGTTGTCTTGTTGCTAGAAATAATTATTTGGTTTAAAATAATCTGACAGCAACCCGCTGTGCATAAATTAGGTTTGTTCTCTACTAAGATTAGTTTGCTGGCATCCATTCACAGGCGTGTCACCAAAAATAAAAAATTGCAAGTTGATCGCATCCGGTTATTCTTCCTTTTTTCTTTTTAATGGGCTTTTTGTTGCTGTKCTGTCACCAAGGTTGAAATAAATGTGTGCAAATCATTTATGTTTCTAAGTTCCTTATAGCCTGAGGAGATGAACTTGGCTCTTCTGTATCATGAAAAGACTTGGGGGTATAAGTGTTTGGAGAAAGGGAGGGGTTATTTGCGCTTAGATTTGTGAATCTTGGGCACCTTTTGTTTTTGGTTAGCCTGGATATTATGTATTCTCCTGAACTCAGTATGTTATCAACAGAGTTCAAAATACCAGGTATAATTAACTTGTATGTTTAAAGATAATATATATTTAATTGCATGTTCTTGCCTGTTTTCGTGCAGAAATATCCATTGGATGTGGAGAAAATGGTGATTCAGAAAAAGCAGAAAAGTGATGTAAAAATGTGCACTGGTGTTTCGCATGTTAAAAATACTTGTGATTCTTATTTCTTTGTTTACGATGGATTAGAATCAGAGTTCTAAAAGCTTAATGCRGACTGTTAGGGCTTTATGGTCAGTCACTGAGAATTATGGGCTCAGCGTGATTCACGGTTTTATTCAGTATATCCATTATTGTTAGATGCTGAGTAGTTAGAGCACATAGATGACTGATTTTTTTGTATTTTACATTTTTACAAGTTCAGAAAAAGACTTCGTTAAAGCAGCTCCTGGGTGAATGAGGTAATTAAAGAAATGCACCACTTTTATTGAAGTTGACACATGCTGCATGTTCCTTAAAACTCGGTATGTGAGCAGAATGTATTCAGGTTTTATTGCAGTCAGACACCTAGGGATACTGAGAGAGCTTTTAATAGTAGTAAAGATAACTTTTTTACAGTTAAATCTGTCTTTAGGAAGAGGCCAATAATTGCAATATATTGCTCGTGTCCTTCATATTTTCTGTGTGCATATGTTACATATACACATATCTATACATAAATGTCTAAGACTTTTATTTGTCAGTAGTTGTATATTCTCTTTAGTATCTTTTTGAAAAAAAATCTTAATGCTACTGAGAATCTTAATTTGCTTTGTACCAGCAGAAATCTGTACTTCACTTTCTCCTTTTTTCTTCACCTGCAATGAAAATCCTGTAGCAGCTTTTAGCGTCTGAGTTGAGTGCATTAATCTCTGCTGCAGACTTAGTTTCCTTTTAGATAAGGAATGCAGTGCATGCCTAACACTTTGCAATTTGTGGGGGAAAAAATAGGTATTTAACTGCCACACATGATGACAAAACACATTATAAATGAATTTCCTTAAGAAGTTTACCAAATTTAGTTTCTAATACTGTGATTTTTAGTAACGTGAGATTTTTCCTTTTGTCTCCTTTTTCAGCGTATTGCAACAGATGTGCTATTAGTTTGTTTCTGCTGTTAGCAATTCATATTTCTATTTTAAAGTTATAGTGATAATGTGTTTAAGCCAGACTTRGCAAACATGGGAGTTTCAGCCTCAGAACATTTTCTTTACCTCACTTATATGTAGCTACTTGYTTAGAAGGCCCGTGGCATGGTGAACTTTGCCAAGTGCACCAGGCTGCTGTGGTTTTAGTAAGAAGTGAATGATCAGAGCCACACGCAATTAAATACACAGCGTTATCAGTGTTCAGGCTTTCTCTAGATATAGGCGCAAAGTACTTTGCTGAACGAGCAAGTAATTGTGCAAAATATCAGAGGGCCRGATTCCTCTGCTGTAACTCCTTTGAGTAACCCCAGAGCCTAACTAACACTATCAGAAACAGCCCCACCTCCCCTGCACCCAAGTGGTGCCAAGTCCATGGAAGTTTTGATCCCATATCCCCTCCAGGGAGCAAAGGGGCTGGCAGGAATGAGCTGGGTACAGGAGCTGGACCAGGGAGGAGAGGTATTGAAGCAGTGCTAGTTCTTCTGTGGATGCTCCCAGTCTAAAGTACAACTATCTTCCTTAATAATATCACAGTAGTTGGAGATGTATTTTTTCCTCTCTCCAAAGTCTCCTTTTTATTTAGCAATAGTTGAATTACAGACAACTTGGAAAAGCCATTGTATCTCTGTGAAGTACATTTTTTATCTTTCTGAAATGCTTTGTTAGTGTTAAATTCTTGGCAATGCACTCTGACTGTCTCTTTACCTCCCAGTTATGCATCATCTATATTTTGTATGATTTCGGTTAGAAAGTTGTCACACTGTTCACTTATCAAACATTTATACCTTCGCACCTATATTCTGGGATATTTAAACCATTCTATTTAAACCATAATGCCTTTCAGGCATTAAGTTTGAGTTAGTATTGCGTGCTTCAAGATATAATAAAG